TTAAATGGAATTAAAATGAAATACTGTAGAAAGCTGAGATTTGCAAGACATAAATTCCATTTCTATTTTTGGCTCACCAAATGGTGAATAAGATCTGAGGCAAGGAAAAATTGTTATGGATAAAGGCACATGAAGAAAGAACACAAATTTAAAGTTTTGCAAATTTGTTCACCTCACTGTTGTCCTTTGGGAGGATTCCCGATTTCTAACTTGAATATTTTATTCCTAAATTCTCCAACCACTTAAATTCCATCAAGTATTATTTCAGATTACTTTTAACTTAAGTCACTAAGGAATTCTATAGAAGTAGTAACCATAGTGATTCATGGAAGGAGGAGGAGGGCGGCTTACAAGGGCTGATTGGCTTTGCCAGCTGTCTTGTACCAGGCCTCTCACAAAATGGAAGATCAGAGGAACTTTGACGCTAACTTCCTCTTGAAGAGAGGCCACATACAGTACAAGAGGGCTTTTAACCTCAGTTCTGCTGGAGAACAACTTTTTAAAATGGGCACTCAAAAAGGAAAATAATGGGAAAAGGAAATAAGATCCATTATGCAACCTACTTTTTTCATCTCCTGCGATATGCTTTAATTTGGATTCTACCCTGATTATCTTAATGGGGTAACTTAACTGTGTGATTCTGTGATTCTTCATTTTCTACTACTTCTCAGTTCAGCAAAGTAGGAGTGAGGATAGGCAGATAAGGTCCTGGAGAAAGATTTAGTCAGGAAGGGAAGTCCGATATCAGTACAACCCACCCTAAACAACTCCATGTACCTATACTTGTACCTTCATCCCTAAACAACAACAAAAAATATGTCCTCAAAACCCTCCTCTGGTCAATTCTACAAGGACAAAGTATGGGCCATCTGATGAATTTTTCCATCTGCAACCTCAGAAACACTTTTTAAGGTAGAGCTGTATTAAAACTACTGGCAAGGCAGCACAAAGCTCCTTAAGCTGGATCAGACACAGCAGCAGCTTCCAATCCAACACCTAACTAAAACTTTCTGAGGTATTCTCAGGACAGCATTGCTGCCTTTTTCCACAGTGTTTTCTAATTTGGGCTTCAAAAAGGCCTGGCTGCTTCAGCTCTAGACAACAAAGCTTAATCTCCCCCCAAATAACATAGCTTGTGTTATATAATCAATTATACAGAGTTTATCTTGGGCAGCAGTCCAGGACCTATAACTGTGATTTAAGGTTGAGTTGGGATTCACATTATCCACATTATCCTAGATCAAGTGTTGCTGAACAACAAATTCATCTCAAATTTTTTGTTATTTATCATCCAGAGATCTGGTGAACTGTAATTTTCTGACATTTAAATGCACAATGCAAAGCTATAGTACTTCATAGATGACATAGAGCATTGGTTGGTTTTGGTAATTTTGAGGGTAGGAAATTTCCATGGCAACGAAATGTTCACATGACTTTGGAAGGCTAAAAAGAAGAGGCTGCTCCAGTAGCAATGTTGTAAGTATTTTTAGTATATTCCAAATACATGTGATTTCTCAAGCTTGGAACAAACGTCCCATAGCTAGAATGTAAGTGGAATATTTCCTGGAGCCTCAGGAACTGCTGGAAAGGTGGCAAAAGGCAATGTGGGCCTTGTCCCTGATTTCTTTCTACACTGTCCCATGGAGGTTATTGGTTATTCATCATCATCATCATGAATGACCTTCTAATGCAGAGGTCTCCAAACCTGGCAACTTTAAGACTTGTAGACTTCAACTCCCAGAATTCTCCAGCCAGCAATTCTGGGAGTTGAAGTCCACAAGTCTTAAAGTTGCCAAGTTTGGGGACCTCTGTTCTAATGTATTAACTTACGCTGCCATCATGTGGCCACTCCATCATGGAAAACCTCCATGAGCCTTTAGCCACAAGGCGATCAGTACATGGTTGAACAAAGACTCGTTGCTATACAGGTAGTCCTCGACTTACGACTACAATTGAGCCTCTTGCTAATTGAAACATTTGTTAAATCAGTTATGCCCCCATTTTATGACCTTTCTTGCCACTTTCTTGTTAAATGGATCACTGCAGTTATTAAGTTAGTAATACGGTTGTTATCTGGCTTTCTCACTGACTTTGCTTGTCAGAAGGTTGCAAAAGGTTATCCCATGACCTCGTAAATATGAGTCTGTTGCCAAGTACCTGAATTTTGGCCACCTGACCACATGGATGCTACAATGGTCATAAGTGTGAAAAACAGTCATAAGTCACCGTTTTTTCAGTGCCATTGTAACTTTGAACAGTCAGTAAATGAACTGTTGTAAGTCGAGGACTTGCTGTACCTTATTAAGCATTTTCTAAAGAGGTCCAGTATACAATCAATGACCCTACCAATATTCCTTTTGTACTTGTGCTTGGAGTATTTCTAAGCCTGCTGTAGCCTAGGTGGCAGCTGGTGACGCTGTTTTGTGTATCGCAGAAACTGGATTATTTCTTTGGGTGTGCCACTCAATTTGGCTTTGCACGCTCATGGCAGTTCTTGTATTTAATCATTCACCCCTTCTGAAGCAATTATATCTCTATCTCAGCTTGCCAGGAGCCTCTACCTGAAACTGACAACTTCAGCTGCTTCAGTTGCAGTTTGCAGCTCTTAAAACCACCATGAGATAAACCTCCTGGAGGTGTTTCTTCTGGACAGGAAGCTCAGAGTATCCTAACATATTAGTGTGAGGTGGGGCATGCTCTTTTCCTCTTCCTGTCCCCCTACACAGGTGCTTTAACTACATAATCCTCAGCTGCAAAGCACTTGTTGGAAGGAATTGCAGCGTAATAAATAGTTTGGGAAAACTGTAATGTATCCCCTGGTTGCAAATGGTGTCAGGGTGGCTGTATAATGTCAAGTTCTTCCCAGAAGTGGGTATCTCCTACTGCAGGGGTGTTTAAACTCACAGCCCAAGGGCCAGATGCGTCACATGCTGGCCATGCCCACCCCCGGTTTAGCGAAGGGGATGACAACGTGACACCACAAGTTTGACACCCCTGTCCTACTGGGAAGTGAACTTGGCAAATCTTGTACCAGCGTTGTTGTAAAAAAAGGCTCTGCTGAAAAGGGCTAAAAACCATCCTTTTACTTTCAGTGAAAGACATGACAATTGAGTCTTCTCCAACTTGGTATCCTCCAAATATATTGGAATTGTGGCACCCAGAACCAAGACAGGCCTACAGTAGGTACAGGTAGCCTTCACATAACGTGACTGCCTCATTTAATTACCATTCAAAGTAATTATGTAAAAAAAAAGATGTAAAGATTTTTTAAAAATTGATGTAAAGATGTAAAAAAAAAGAAAGTCTTGGTGACCAATCCTCACAGTTCTGACCATTACAGTCACTGTTTGGATGCTTCATCATTGGCTCACAAGAAGTAGAGTTAATAGAGAATGCAGAAGCAAAATCCTAAACCATGGTCATGCAATGCTTTACTTAGTGACCACGGTACTTAGCAATGAAATTGTCGGTCCCAACTAGATTACTAAGCAAGGACTGCCTATATTAGAATTGTGGAAATTGTAGCCCAACGTTTCCAAAGCAATACCGAAGTGTAGAAAAGTGAATGCAAAATTGTATTCAGCACTGGAAGCTTTTTAAGAATGTAAATTGCATCAGCTGCAGGAAGTGATTATAGCACTTAGACTTATAAGGGGGACTTATAGATTATAGGGGGGAAATGATGCTGTTACATCTGGCTCTCCTTCCAGATTAAAGGCCAAAGCCCTCTGCCATCCCTGTAGTTTTTTGCTCTCAAGACCAAAGGGGTTTATCATTGTTATCTTTTGTACTTTTAAAAAAACCAAAAACTTTCCAGTCTTCCCTATGAACTTGGTATTTCCTGGTGGTTTCCCATCCAAATATTAACCCTGACCAACCATGTTTAGTTTCCCATCTTGAACTTGGCCAGATGGTGTCATTTGAGGAGTTACAAAACCTGTGGAGCTCTCTCAAATTATCTAGACAACAACAAGAGATTGGCACAATGGAAAATAGTGGTTTGGTCAGATGAGATTTGACTGCTACTCTTTTTTTAATTATCAGAAACCTTTTTAATATTTTAGGATAGTTGCTTTCTCTGGTACTTATATATTATACTTTTTATATATATTACCCTTTTATGCAAGAAACAGAATGCTAATTCCTAGCCAAATGGTTTAATGTCAGGGTGACTTATTCTTAAAATGTTTTGGTTTAAGTCAAGTATAAAACTGCATAGGTTCAAAGATTTTGTTCTTTTAAATGGGCAACTGGCTTTGTTGCCTGCCACCCTCGTATTGGACTATTGGTGCTGTGTTAAAGCATGGGGCTTGGGGGATAGATGTTGATGCTTTGTTGCTGTCTTACCACCCCATTTTCCCACACTATTTTTTCACCTGTACAAAGGACACCTATCCCAATAAAGCATTTGGTGTACAGGCCCCCTCCTTGCTTTCTAAATATGCCTATGAAATGAATGTGGGCACAGAGACATTTTTGGAAATGCAATTTATGCATGAGATTTAAATTTTCCTTGCCCCTTTGTAAGCTCATTTTAAAAATAAAAGGTGAATATTTAAAAATAAAGAAGCTTGGCAGATGCTACGGGAGATGTTTGAAGGCAGATAGGCTTCCCTGAGTGACATAGCAGTGACCAGAATCTAGAAGGACTGAATTAGCCCATTGGGACAAACTGAGGTGCGGAAAGCTTTCCTCCCATACTTGCAATCCTCCAGAAATGTCTTTCTCTGAATGAGTGATGGCCATTGGAAAGATTCTTCCTCCCCCCGGTTGCTAAATTCAGTAGCAACTCTGGTCGTGAATCTTTGAACTGACCATAATCCATGATGCCCCTTATTGACACTTAGGTTTGCAAAGGAAAACAAGAACCACCATTTCAGGACTTTTTTTGTGATAGATCTTCAGAGGGTTTCATGCATGCATCTATCTTCGGTTTTCCCCTTACCTCTTTTTCACTATGACCAAATGCATTGTCAAACAAAGGTATGCTACAGCCAATGTGGTTAAAACATATGGCATTTACTTGCTTCAGGAGCATTTTGTTTTCGTGGCATAAAACCTACGCAAGCATTTCTAGTTCCGTGTTGCAAGGCCAGCAAAGGATTTAGAGGAGAGGAAAACATGACATTAGGAGGAGGTGGGGTTTCAGAACATGTTCATCCAAATGTCATTCAGTCCCATGTTCTCTGTAACCAAAACTGTCCCCACTGCATATTTTGCACACCAACAGGTCTCCACTTCCCCAAAGGGCAGAGCCAAGGAAAACAGGATTTAATCCTCAAGGCAAAGGGAGCAGTCAGGGCACTGGTAAATTTAATGAATAAAGACTAGGGACGGGGGCAGGTTGCAGCAAAGAATAGGGAAGGATAGACCTTCTGTTCATTGTTGTTCTAAAAAAAGCTGGCCTTGTTCTTTCCCCACAACTACATGTCTTCCACCGGGCAAGTATAGGCTAAGGAAAATATTCCTGTTCTCATGCAACATAGCCAGGAAAGAACCTATTCAAAAGATCGGGCAGGGCATTTCATAACAAACTGCTTGTTCCAAAAGAGGCCACAAAGAGAAATATAATGCATGCTTTGAATTGTTTCTGCGGCACTACGGAGGTCATTCAGCAAGCTTCAGGTGTGCGCCCCCCCCTCCAAAAATCTTCCTGCAAAAAAAAATGTACTTCAAGAAAAAAAAGATGATTGGAGATACAAATACCAACAGATCCCAACAACCAGCCCAGCCCAGGACACCAGTTTTGAGCAGAGAAGTAAGAGGTGGATTTATTTTTCTCTATTTTTTCTCGGGAATCTTCTCCTTGGTGACCATGTCACTGAACTCTGCAATGCAATAAGATAATCAGAATGAGTAGAGTTTGCATTTAAAAAAAATTATATAAGGCAATAACTCCCCACTTTCTTCTCCCCACCCCTCAATCCCACCCCAAATATAAGAACAAATCTTTCATGGGATAGAGGGTAGGGAGACCATTTCCTATCCGACCTGATGAATGGCTACTTCTCTTTCAGCTAGGTTGCAGCTCTTCATAGTTTACAGAGGGAAGTAATTTAGAAAGGCAGAACAATGTTTTATTTGCTCACTTTACCAGCAGCAAAGCTGGCCGAGCAAGCTGCTTATATAAATAGGAAGCAAATGTCTTCATTCATTTGCACTGATGATGTTACATAGTTGGGTAATTAAATGTCTGGTAGCAAACAACCAAGTTGAGAGAGCACCGAGGACCCTACAGTGCTTTATTTCTATGGAAAATGACTCCAACTGTGACAATTTTATCATCGGATGTTAATCATCTGTCATAGCTGTTTCAATGGTTTTCAGCGAGTAGTAGTGTTGAATAGCAGCCCTCAACCATCACTCTGGGCTACATTTGGTCTGAGCTTTGTAAGTAAAGATGATCTAGGTTGTGTGTGGTTCTTTTAAATTAATTGGATTAAAATGTGCCAAGAAATAAATAACTGGCTCTGATCTAATAATGTTTGTAAAATATGCAGTAGCTGACCATTAAAAGTCGGAATTAATGTAGCCATGCCTCTGCGTTATGCTGTAGTTCCCAGCTCCATTTGTTTCATGGGAACCTAGAGCATCTTTTTGGAGGTGGTGTGAAAGTCTCTTGTCTTTCTTTCTGTAGCCAGTCACACCCACCCACCATTTTGATGTCACTCTCTTCTGCGGATATGCTGCTCGTTCCACGATCCTTGCTTTTTAATTGAACCAACACTGTTACAAGCTCTTCTGACTTTCTAGTTCTAATATTGTCCTCACAACTTGTCCTAGAGATGAGCTTTGCATAATAGTGGCTACTCTGATACTTTATTATTTGCCTTAGAATAGTCACATTTTCCTTTAAAAGCTTGTCACAGCAATTGAAGGCCAGAATAGTCTCAGAAAAGTTGCTCGCACCTCGTGGAGTCTGTCTAAAAGTATAAATGATTCTTTGTAATATGACAAAGCTGCATTTGTATTTCTGCTATGGGGAACAATTACACAGATAATATTTAATTTGTTTAATTTAATTCCAAGCTAAATCAAATTTGGCTTTTGTTTTGGCCCTGCCTGCTTTCTGTGTGGTCTTCTGTCCACGAAAAAAGAGTGAGTCTTTTCTCTGAAAAAGGTGATACTTTTGTTCTTAAGTTCTGTTTCTGCCCACCTTGAAAATCAATCCTCCCATCGCCATCTGTGTCTGCTGCCTGGATCACAGCTTCTGCTTCTTCGTCTGACAAGGGGACAATTGGCATGTTACTCGGCACTGTGGCTAAGATGTACCTGTGGGGGAGAGAGGTGGAAATTGAGGCACAGCAAGGGAGATACATTGGGCTTAGTAACTCCCTGTGCCCAATCTTTGCATCACCATCATCATCATTATCACTCTCCTCCTCCTCCTCCTCCTCCTCCTCTCATCTCTTCCTTCTTGCCCATTTTTACTGAGATTAGCCAGGAGCAAAGCAGTTCCAAAAATAAATCTTCTGACTTACCTGAATAATGTAACTTCATCCCCCCCCAACCTGTTGTCCTCTAGGGGTCGAATGACAACTCTTGTTGCCCCTAACTATATGGGCTGGCAGGCTGACAGGAACTATAATCACAAGGAGCATGTGCTTGAGGAATGCTGCTTATTGTCTTTCACAGGGATATGGAATTCCTGCTCTGGATTTCTGCTCACCTTATTTATCTTTTCCTCTTGACCTCGGGAAAGGATTTAAACAAAAATGGGAAAATTGAAATGTCTGCAAATATGGATGCAGTGGGCTTTTGAAAATACATCGTCGTATGAAATTAAGATTGTGATTAGTAGATGGACTAAAAATATAACAGAGTAAAATGATGAGACACAAGACACTTTTTTATTTAAGAAGGCACGTTGGATCTAGTCCTGTGTAAGGTAATTGGATGCAACAGAAGACAAAATTTGAACAGGCCGTGTAATGGGATTCAACACGCGCGGTGGACATGATGAGTTGGCAAAGGTTGCGTCTGTTAACCTTTTCTCCCTAACTGTTACAGTGAGAGTTCCGTTCTATTTAATCGACAGGAAGTCGGAACAGCCTTTATAGGAAATTCCAATTCTGCTTTTCAATCCACTTAATTCTGGCAGAATCTACAGAAAACAGGATTGGTCATATTCATTACTTAATATAAGGATTAACCCTTATGCTAAATGCACTATCATAGCTGTATAATCTCTGGCAAAGCTGTCAAGTTATGACTCAGACTAATTTTATGTAGTTATTGATGTGATTTCAAAAGGAGAGAGAAAGAGAGAAAGAGGGAGGAAGAGAGAGAGAGAGAGAGGGAGGGAGGGAGGGAGAGAGAGGGAGAGAGAGAGGGACACAGAGAGAGATTATGGGCACTTTTGTTGCCAGACTGACTATTTCTAATCATAGGACTCATTTAATTTGTAAACATGGCTTAAAGCATGTATTAAAAGGCATGCATTAAATGGCTTAAAACGTATTAAGGATATGCAGAAGTCTAGAGTTTTGAGATGCCCTAAGAATAATGGTTGGCTTGAAAAAAAATAAATAGGAGACCTCAAGAATCAGTGCTTTGAAGGACATGTGCAAAATATATTACAATGGCTTCAAGGATCTCTAGAAAGCCTCTCATCATCTGAAAAACTAGACCAGTTCTGGAAAAATGGCTTCAACAATCCTTGAAAAACCTGGAAAAGATAAGTCCTGAAACCTCAAAACAAGATGGCTTGAAACACCTGTAAAGAACCTTGAAGAAAATTAGCGCAGTGGTTAGGAGGCTGGTATGATGATTGGCAGGCTGGCATTCGAGACCTGGTTGCTGCTGCAGGACAGGGTGAGCTCCTGTCACTCGCTCCAATTCCTGCCAACCCAGCAGTTTGAAAGCAGGTGACCATGAATAGATAGATCGATACCTCATTGGTGGGTGGCTTAGCAAGGACATGAAAGGACTCCCCCAACTGGGTGTCCTCCAGGCATCGGTGATGACACTGGCTAATCCTTTCAACCCAGAAGTGCTTTGGCACTCCCAACATGATTGTAGTAGCTTCTAAAAACTGGTAAGTCCAGGAGTCAGCTAAATCCAGCTGAATGTAACCCCTCAAAAATTAACAAATGTAGCTTATGAAATTAAAAGTGCAATGACAAGCTGATGCCACTCCAACATTTTGTACCTCTCCATCTGTAAAATAAAGCAAGCAGCTACACCTGCCCCTTATTAACTTCCCCTTATGTTTCATAGTAATAGACAGCAACATTATCTTACTTGATTTCATTCCATTCAATGAAACCACTGTCATCCTTGTCAAGCAATTTGAAGGCTTTACGCAAGTGAATCTCCCTCTCGTCTGATGTCATAAACTTCTGCATGTATTCAAGGAACTTGATGTAATTGAATGAAGCTGCAACAGAACGGATAATTTTTAATTGTTAGCATGATATAAATATGGCCTGCAGAACTTTATTGACACTGAATGTGGAAGCTCTTGTTTTCACATGTAGAACATAACTATGGCTCACTTCACATCTCAGATAGACACAAGCCCAAATTTAACATTGAAAACTATAGTACTGGACGTCTGTGACCTACAATCATTCATTTAAATGTCTATGGCAGGGGTCCTCAAACTTGGCAACTTTAAGACTTGTGGACTTCAACTCCCAGAAGCATAACTGGCTGGAGAATTCTGGGAGTTGAAATCCACAAGTCTTAAAGTTGCCAAGTTTGGAGACCTCTGGTCTATGGAGATTCTCTATTCCTATGGGACAACCATTCATTTAGATTGTTTGAATTTACAACAGCGCTTAAAAAGTGACTTATGATCATTTTTCACACGGATGACTGTTGCAGCATCCCCATGATCAAAATTTGGACACTTGGTAACTGGCATGTATTTATGACGGTTGCATGTCCCAGTATCCATGCGACCATCTTCTGACAAGACAAGTCAAGGGGGGAGCCAGATTCACTCAACAGCCATGTTACTAACTTAACAACTGCAGTGATTCTCTTAACAACTGTGGCAAGAAAGGTCATAAAAATGGGGCAAAATATTACTTAACAACTGTCTCACTTAGAAACAGAAATTTTGGGCTCATAGATCAAGGACTACCTGCTTATGTGAATGCAGGTTATCAATCCAGATGTGATATCTGATATCCTTCAGGAATCTACTGTACATTCAGCCATTTTGGTTTCTTTCATTCCTTACCATGGTGCCTCATTTCTGAGGGCAACAGGTCGAGATCTTTGTCCGTCAGGGATGTACCCATGGCCAAGGCCATTTTCTTGACTTGGCAAGCAAAATCATCTTCCATGCTGCTATTGATTGTAAAAAAAAGAAAGAAAAAAGAATTTAGGGGAGTATTAAAAAATGTGGCAGTTCCTTTCTTGCACATCAGCAGCGGCGGGAGTCTGACACATCCTAACCAATTCTAAAGAAGGTTCTTTTAAAACAGTAGAGACTTACAACAGTTTGTTCAGTGACTGTTCAAAGTTACAACAGCACTGAAAAAAGTGACTTGGGACCATTTGTCACACTTACGACTGATGGCATCATCCCCATGATTCCTTGATCCAAATTCAGACGCTTGGCGACTGGTTCATATTTATGACGGTTTGCAGTGTCCCAGGGTCATATGATCCCCTTCTGTGACCTTCTGACAAGTAAAATCAATGGGGAAGCCAGGTGCACTTAACAACTGGGATAAGAAAGATCGTAAAATGGGGCAAAGCTCACTTAACAGAAAGTTTGGGCTCAGTTTTGGTCGTAAGTCAAGGACTACCTGTACTTCCAAAGGATATTGTTCCAGTTCAGTTTTATTGGCAGCACCCCTCTAAAATAATCAAGTGATATTATCCACCCTAACAAGAGATAGCAGTTTCTAGAAATCGGAATAACTTTAGGAGGGGAAAATAATGTTGTGCAAAACTTCCCAAAACAACCCAATGAGAAATATGTTTGCCTGGGGGAGGTCACATAATACTGGTAGGAAATGAGCAAAGCAAGAATGAGAAAAATAAATTGAGCTGGGGAAAATAGTAGCAAAGAAGAAGGCATGGCTGGTTGACTAGAAGAACCATTTCAACATGTGTCACTGCAATTACATTCAGGAACAACCTTGCTGTGTCCTAATGTGATTCTTTTCACGGAAGCCAAATGAGCCTGAATTATGGTGTGATGATTTAATGAGCATCTCCAGTTTTGGACTTCATGCGAAATCCTGGTAAATCCTGAATGGAAAAGCTTCCAACCTTTTAATTTCAACCATCCTGATGAGAAGGAAGAGAATAATTCCTTCTTGTAAAGCTAATCCATAATTTAGCATTCCGAGTGATGCTCCCGCCACCACTATTGCCATGGTTTCTAATGTTGTTTTCATATTCTTATAAACATATCAAGATTTTTTTTTGACAAAAAGTCACATATAATATCTTTTTGATTTAGCACTAGGGTTATAATACCCCAGAGGACAAAGTGCTAGAACAAAAGAGTTTTGTACGTCTTGCTTTCAAGCATAAGAAGGGAGCTGAATTCTGTTTTTTTTAGAGAAGAGGCATAATTTCTGTCACTGATTGTATTTATGAGGACTGTGGATGTTGCCCATGTTTGCATGCCTCAAGTCAGGTTATATATTTAAGACCCTGTTCAGATCTATTTATGTCTTCCTATGACAATTCCCTAGGTCAGCCTTCCCAACTTATCTTTTTGGCTTCTTGGCTGGCTGGGATTAATATTTATTTATTATTTATTTATGAAATCCGTGTCTATTTTCCCCTGCCAATGGATGATATCAAGGCAGCCAACAAATTAATTTTAAAAAGTTATAGAAATTATAAAAATGCATTCTAAGCCTCCCCCTCCAACATAGTGCCCTCAACTTCAACAGCTAAAAGTCTGTTTTTACATCAAAGTCCTGCTCAAATACAAATATGTTTGCTATAGAAATAGATTGTCTCCCTTGATAGGAAGTTCTGAAAACTGGTAACTACTGAGAAGGATTTTTCCAACCTGAAGTGACTGGATTGTGGGATGAGACTCTGCTGAAGCTGTTGATGGCCAAGCAGAGTTGTGTGGGGGAGACTATTTTCCAGATAAAGTTTGAAAGAAAGCACAGCCTGGAAAATCTTGCACTATGCCCTTCAGCTTTCATTCCCATGCACAACAGGAATTCCTAACAATTTCCTCTGATAAAATCCATTAATCCAAAGTAGATTTCAGTTCTAAGTGAAGGGACAGTATTGGTTACTGCGATTATCTTCCATTTAATCCAAAGAAAAAGCTTTCAATTGCCTGCTAAAACCACAGGCAGATTTCAAATTCCAGTAAATCCTGTTGTACTGAGCTAGCTACTGATCTTGCCAATGACACTGTCAGCAGTTCATTCTCCCTGGCTCTTTCCCCATCGCCAGCAGCCAAGTGTCTGATAGCTGAGGTGAACTTTGATATGAGTCACACTTACTTCCACACTTTGCATCATATTCTTCATTTAATAACACAAATGGAAATCCCTGCCCATTGGCTGGATGGCAAAGGGGCATGAATGATCAAAGGGGAGATTGCTACTAATGACATTTATGGAAAAAGAGATAAAAGACCAGGTGGTAGCCTAATCTGTGGGGTGGGACAGAGGATCTGGGAAGGCCATGTCTAAATGGGGTAGTCTCTCTTGCAATCAAAAATTATGAAAGAGGTATATCTAATATTTTAATATTGGAATATTTGGGCTATTGTAGAGCAGAAAAATCAGGGTGGGGTGTCCTTGATGCACTAATGATGTGGGTTTGGGTAATGAAATATCTGCAAGAAAACAACCAAACTCAGAGCACAAAGGACCCCTCATGTCAACCCTGAGCTGCAAATATTCTCCTCTGTCAGCCGGAAAAATCATTTATGCATATGAATGAGGAAAGTCCCTTAATATTGCTGAAGCTCTCTTCCAGGTAAAATGGTATCTTGCCACATCTCTGCCTTGTTCTTCGGAGGCCTGATGAAACTGCCTGCAGATTCACAAGCTGTCAGCTAGCCATGCCATCCATCAATCACTCTTAGTTTAAATGCAAGGATATCTGATAACCAAAGTGGTATGTATCTGAGAAAATTCTAAAATGCTGTTCCTTCTCAAGGATAGGCAAGCTAATGTCAGGTCTCCAGTCTTCTCTTCATTGATTAATTCAAGGAATGAATATTGTGATTTAGCAGTTCCTTCTTCCTTTTCCACAAAATGAACTACTCTGTAAGCAATTCATATTTTCTGGCAACCCTTCCAAGTCATTCTTATTCTAGATTGCACGGACGTCATTTAAAAAGCCTTTTCAAATTCCTATTTACCGATAATTGGACAAGTTAATATTCTAAACACAAGGGCATCTATTTCTCAGGCAAACCCAGCCATCCAATCTTCTTCCCAAACTTTTCTAAGCTGCGTTTTCAGTATAATATTACAAGTGGAAGATGGGGAGCAGAAGCCAGAAAGGCTGAAATCAGATTGTTATGACAGAAGAATCATCACCGATAGTTTGTTTGATTGAGGCCCCCAAGATCATTCAGCATTTAAAGAATACTGTGCAGGTTGCAAATGCAACTAGGAGTAATGGTTGATAGCAAACAAAAGGTTGCAAACATCTTGCCAGGTCCCTAAAAAAGAAGTTGGAACAGCAAAAGACCAGAAAATGTATGTACACAGCTGGATGAGAAGCAGGGCTGCATCCACCTGTGGCTTCTCAGATGGAAAAATCAGAAAAACAGTGATTCAGTCTGGCAATCAAAAGACATTGTGGTGAGAGGCTGCCAAACTGACGCAACCATGGCAGCTGTCCCCAGGTCACTCCTTAAAGGGCACCAAGGTGTTCATAATGGCAATGAGATCAGTTTGTTTGTTTACAAGCGACCTTTACAGAGTAAACTCTCTACACGAGCTCTTTCAAGAGCCATTGGGGAGAAAGATTGGTTGCCTGTCCCAATTGTTCCTTCACACCCAGTGCTGTGCTTCAGGGCAGTGAGATAATTGGAGACTGGGAACAAGCAGCCCCTGAAGAGTCATTATTCAATTACAGTGTAGTGTGGACCAGGAGCCTGCATGTATAGTGTGAAATTTAGGAATAGCAATAGCACTTAGGCTTATATACTGCACATTTCTTTTACAGCCCTCTCTAAGTGGTTTACAGAGTCAGCCTGTTGCCCCCAACAGTCTGGGTCCTCATTTTACCCACCTCGGAAGGATGGAAGGATGAGTCAACCTTGAGCCTTGTCAGGATCGAACTCCAGGCTGTAGGCAGAGTTTGCCTTCAATACTACACTTTATAAAATGGGGATGGAGAGGGCTGAAGCCCTGTTCCAAGTTTACTCTCTCTTTTTTTAATGCCAAATAACATGAGCTGTGGTATCTAAAGCTCTTTGCTGGCAAGAGTGTTGTTTGGTCCTGGAGCTCAGCGTGCTCTGAAGAACGCTGGCCCTCGTCTCTGCCTGGTGACCCTTCTGCTCTTAGGGAGTCTTATATTCACAAGGCAACAACTTGTGATGTGAACCTGTTCTAGGATTACGCTCAGTCTAAATAACTCAGCTTTCCCCATGGACCCCCTGATCTGCCTGCCAAGAGTTTATTTAGGAAAGCAATTCTTCCCTCCCTGAATTTGGAAAGAACAGACATTCTCAGAGGGGGTGTTTGCCTTGGAAGCTGGGCTGTTCACTGCTCAGAGAAAGGCAGAGGGAAACAACCCAGGTGAAAGCATGAGATGGGGATACGTGAGATCTGACATTTGGTCCAATGTTTAAACAAAAATAACCAGCGCTGTTCATCAAAATAAGACACCCTGCAGAAAGTATTGTTCTCTCTTGTAATGATTGTGTGTGCGAGATATTGTGTGCCATCATATCTAATATGCTTCCCCCCCAAATTCTACATTTTCCTACCCTTTATTGGCTTTAAGGCCATCAAAAATATAATTTTGCTTGGATCTGTTGGCTTTTAGCAGACCCCAAGATCCCCTTGTTTGGATTGTACTTTCCCTGTCCTTTTGCTTCATCAAACTTTTCCTTCATTATCATAAGTATTTTAGCTGTATTTTCTCCACACCCACGTTTTTGCAAATCACTCTCTCCCAAAATTCTTTCCGAGGCAGCATTGACATTTATCTGCACAATAAATATAAAATAGTATTTTCCACCCCCTCGCCAGCCTTGATTTATTCTGTCTTAATTAAAAAACTGCACTTAGCAAGCTGTTGGCACAGGATCACCAGAAGTAGCAGCCAGAGCTGCAATAAGCTAAAAGAAAAGACAGATCTGGAGTCTTGGATATGGATAAGCCAGCCTTCCTCAACCTGGTTTCTTCAAGATGTGTTGGATTACAACTCCCATCATCCCAAAAAGTGGGATTGGAGAAAGCTGGATTCAAAGAATAGGATATACAGTATATTAACCTATTACAAATTCGATATGAATTAATCACTACCTTTTCATGCCATTCCTTCTAACGGCAATGCTACTATTAACACATGAAATACTGCTTTCAGACAATGGTTTTGGCTTTAAGTAATAGCTTGTTTTGTGTTCGCTGACTTTCCTAGGAAGGTAAGCTTCTAGTTGGCCATAGCCTTGTCAGAATTGTTGCCACACAGTGAAGCTGTGGATGTAAATATTACTGATTTAATTATATCCAACATGGTTTCATCCCATCAGATATCTTTCTTTTTCGCTTCTGAAACATCACTAGGATGGTGGCCCTAACCTGTTAACTAAGGACCATATGATTCTTGTAGAACTTAACGGACTGACTTGGTTCCCTGGTTTCAGAACTTCCCTTTTGCAATGAGCACAACGTTCCCTGATTATGACTCCAGTGCTTTGACGAAAATTTAATTGCACTGGTCTTCTTCTCTTGGTGACAACCCTATTCAGGTTGTCTCTTTTTTTAGGCATTGCATATCCCAGCAGGTACTTACCTGCCCCAGATGTCCTCTGCTCGAAGCTGACAAGATTCTTGTTGAAAACCTAAACCATGTCTCTGGCTTTTATATGGCCCCTTGCTCAGCTTTGCTATTTAAGGGAAAGTGCACCTGTCAGGAATACATCCTGTAATTCTCCTGAGCCCTTTCAAGACACTATTGGATCATCTTGGAGGGTTGTGGTGTTATCAGTTGTCACTGGCACTTGGATGCCCAGCATCGAATATCATCTTGGGCAGGGCAAAATCTTTAGTACGGACTCCACATGATACCAAAAACAAACAAGCAAACCACTCCTTCTCTGTTATGTGATGCGATGGAGCTTCTCCCCAAAAAATGGGAAGAGGGATATATGAGTCATCCTTGTGTTTTTGGTCCTTGTATTTCTTTTCTTTTTTTCTTTTAGTTTCCACAAGTTTTTTTTTTAGGTGGGCCAATTTCACAATAAAAGAGCAGACAAGTCTCCTGTTGCAAATGTTTGTTTCAAATAGTGTCATTTTCCTGCATGTGTGTTTCATCTTTATCGTCATTCCCAAAGGGCCTGGCAATAGAAAATGCAAAAATAAAAACAAAGGTTTGAATATGACCTATGCTAGAGCTGTCCTGTCCTTTAGAATTGGGGGGGCAACTTTGGGATATTAAGCATCTGTCATGGTAGGCATGGAGCAGAATCTACAGTATTTAACAGAAAGCAAAACTGTTGCGTTACTCCCCCCACCACCACCATTTCTCTTTCTGAGAATACTTTGGGCACTGAAATGGGCTGGGAAATGCAAAATATTATTTATTAGATTTTTCATCCCGCCTTTATTACTTTATGACTAAATGAAGACAGTAAACCTGCATAAGACTCCTCCTTCCTCCTATTTTCCTCACAACAACTTCTTTGTGAGGGGAGTTTGGCTAAGAGATTGTGACTGGCCCAAGGTTACCCAGTTATGTTTCATGTCTAAAGCAGGACTAGAACTCACAGTCTCCTGGTTTCTAGACCAGCACCTTCACCACTATACCAAATTGGCTCTTTGTGCTTAAGGCTAAAGTTTTGCTCTGCACCATGCCAGATTTCTGTTGCTTTAATTTAAGGAACCAACAAACAGCCCTTGGCTGTGATCTATTAATTAACTCTCTTTCTGCCTCGGTTTCTTTTTCTTTCTGAAATCGATATCCATCCTAGCTTTAAAAATCTTCTATATTGCTGTTTGGTAATTTGCTTTTTACCTGACCAGTTTTGCCAAAGGACGGTTAAATCTTAATTTCATTTAGGGCAATCTTCACTCAATTTTGTATTTGAAATTTGAGAGAGTAAAATAGTGCCAAAGGAGCGGTCTTAGATTTCAGCCAATGTTCTCAAGACATAAATGGATAATAACATGTGAGATTTAGAGGTGGGTGAGTTAAAAATCAGTTTCTGTTCTTCATCATTTTCTGTTCCTGGAGCTTCCTTATCAAATCTTACCAAATCAAATCTTTGAAGGTTGCTTATGTCTGTTTTCTACCTCTTTCATGTATTTTTTTAAAAAAACAGTTATGATTGTGTTCATGCAACACACTTAAATCAGGTTACTTGGAAACCTAACAGTTGCATTTACAAAACATGCTAAGTTTCAGCACAACTCACATTGGTTTGGATTTATGTGCATTAGGTTAGTTGTGTGAATCCAGGCTCTTTAGTTAATATGGGTCGAAGTATTGTGTGCATCTGGAGAGTGGATTCGCTCCTTAACCAGGTTAAATAGGCCTGGATATTTCCCTCATTGTCAGAATATTAAAAGGGCACTTATTTCACCTCTTCCCCTATAGGTAAGTCATCTTGAATAACTAGGCATCGTTTCTAAATCTATAAATTAGAGAAACCTGTTTCTTGCCTTATATTGCAGCCATGGGGGTTGAGATAATAATGTAAGTAGGACATAATTGTTACATAAGTCTAGGGTTTCTGGGGGGAAATATTCAGAACTGAAAATGTTATATAAATTTCAAAGATGAGTCGTGCGTTCCAATATTTTTCTATTTAAACTATTTATTTTGCTAAGGCAAAAATGTGTACAAATTCTAAAGAAGTCTCTGCTGCCAGGTAGTGAAATTTATTTTTTTATTTATTTTATTTGGTTTGTCAATTTCTTACAAGATAATAAGTATATGTAAAAACATAGTTATGAATACAAGGATACATATAAGAAAAATAAAAGAAACAATAGGACAGGGACGGTAGGCATGTTGGTGCGCTTATGCACGCCCCCTACAGACCTCTGCCACAGTCTTCCTATATCTTTCCTGTGCATATTTAAAGCGGCTTAAGGATGAACTTAAATGTATTAAATGTAAGGATGAACTGACACATGGGTGGCTTTTTCATGAGCAACATAAAGCAAGTGATCCTTGGTTTAATTAGAAATAGTTATCCTTGATGCGGCACATCTCAGAATTTGATGTACAACAGCACAACGATTCTGCACCACTGGGCAGCTGTTCCAGGACAGCAGATCCTAAACTCACTTCAGGATGCAGTCCTGCAAATCAAGGGATGCCTTGCTGTTATCTGTGCAGTGATGCCCATTTGCCTGCACAGTGCTATTCCAGCACCCCAATTCAAGCAGCATATCCCTTGCACGGGTGTGTTTTTCGGCACTTTCTTTAGGCTGGGTGAAATGACAGATGTTACATCCTCAGCATAATTAGAGCGTAGGATTGTTTCCTTGGGCTTCTTCTTCTTCTTCTTCTTCTTCTTCTCCTCCTCCTCCTCCTCCTCCTCCTCCTCCTCCTCCTCCTCCTCCT